ATGGACACTGGGCTAGAGGGATCTCTCATTCAGTGGAATTAGTCCTATCTATTGGTTGGTTCTAAATCTAGAGTGACCTAGAGTGAATCTAGAGGTTTCAGATACCTCAGAATTGAGGGATATTTGGATTTCTTTTTTTTGGACCAATCTTTTTGTGTAACAGTGAACTCCTGATAACATCTGACTAGTTCTGTCGGTGCTACATTTTCTGATAGCCTGGGTTTGACTATCTTCTCAGATTTGTTTTTACTGTGCAGGACTGAGTAAAAGGAATAGCCATGACGTAAAGCTGGTATAAGGAGAGAACAGATCCCTGATGCATTATGTAATGATGGGCTTAGATCCTCAAATTTATTTCATTGAAGACACAAGCTATAAAGGCAGAAAGAGACAGTGCCTTTCTCATTGCAGCTACCAAATCCATCCAAATAAACATGTTCATTGCCAAATTTTTATTCAGTTTTCATTAAGAAGAATTAGCTATACATGTTCATAACATATATTGCACACAGTATTATTATAACAAACAAGCTTTCAAACATTTCAAGTGTTTTAAGCTGCTGTAGTAAGGAGGGCATGAGGGAGTTGCTTCAGATTTTTTTTTAATGAAAACATTCTCAGTAACTTTCAGTAAGCTTTTTGTTATCTATTCTGCTTCACAGACAAATATGCAGTGGTGCTGTTTTCCTCCTAATGTGAAATACTTCCTTAGGTTAATGACTCTGAGTATTTAAAATCAGAGCAATCATTTTAAGTGTTTTGTTGTACCAACAGTAGAAGCCTCATTGAGTTAAATTGGTTTCGCTACATTATCTGTTGGATTAGCAAACCGGTTAAGAATTTATGGGAGAGCTTTAACTTGGATAAATGCTCTCAGTTTTACCCAAAATCAGGACAGACATTTCTGTATATTAATCTCTTAATAGTGCTTTGAGTGCCAGCATTATTTTCAAATAAACCATGCAGTATCTTACTCTTCTTCATGTTGTGCTTTCTGATTCTTTTCAACCTCTTGAGACAGGAACAGCTATTTTTTTAACATAAATACAGCAGGGTGCATAAGTGCCCCACAGAAAGCACTCACGAACACAGAATGGTACTTTGTCTTCAGTTGTCACGGCCAAAGTAGAATTTTACAAGTCCTTGGGCACTGAATAGGCAGGATTTCATTACAGGATGAAATCTCTGAGGTTATTTTGATTTTCTTTCTAATGCATTTTGTCTTCCAATTCAATAGTTTGAATGTCTATTTTGTCCGTTTATAGAAGCTCCAATTTCTGTATAACTACATTTTATTAACACTTCACATTTAGTATGATTACATTAACACATATCCCACTCTTTCTCACAGACACGCCAGTCCATAGAGCAGTACTCTAAACTGCTGAAAGGAACAGAAATGCTTTGAGGTACAGCACAGAAGTGCCTTCTGATCTGTCACATACTCCCCCCTCTTGACGCTGGTACAACCCATCCAAAGTCAGCATCCAACTGATATCAAATTTAGTTTAGTTCTGTTTAAGGGCATCATGAAATTAGAGTTGAATAGGGCATTTGCTTTAGACATTAATGCATCTAAAGCATTCATATCTGATGATTTTTAAGTATGATGACTTTCAATGAAAAAAAAAGTAAAGCACACCCAAAAGTACAGAAGGGTCAGATTTATGCAAAACTCCAATCGTTATCTGAAGTTTATCCTTAAAAGAGTTTGGATGGCATCTGACTTTTCTATTTCTGGCTCTGGAAACAGATTTAAGAAAATTCCACTCTGTGTGGTGGAGGTGTTTTGTCTTGTGCTACTCACGCAAGTGCAGTAACAGTAGGTGAAACACCTGGTCTCCCCTCAGAGTCACCTCCTTCCTGGAGTGGACATGACTGCCATACGTATGCTCACAGTGCACATTTCTGGCTGCCTGCAATGCTTTGAGGTTTTTTTCCCCCTTTTTTGTGCTTCTGTCTACAACATTGTGATAGTCTAGCATTCTGGCTTTAGCTTTTTTTGAGGAAAAGATCGCTGCCACCTTTTACTTTGATCAATCAAAACTGAGCTGCGCAGCTTGAAGATCTGCAGTCAAAATACAGAAAAATTCATTGAATAAATCTTTTGAAGAAGTCAGCAAAGCGTGCAGCTCGTGCCTGTCTCCCAGATGGAGAAGCAACTAATTTTGTCCAATAACCCCATGTGATTACTCAGTTGGCTTCAGTGTAAAGAGTTATGTCAGGTGCACAATTACAAACTATTACTGCTGAAGTAATTAGATTAGACAGTGCCTTTATAATATCTGCAGCTGCCTTCTTGCTAGTTACTCGAAATAACCAGCCACTGCACACTAGAGGGGCTGGGTCAATGCTTTGTTCTCTGCTCTTGAATAACTTTAATTCCAAAATCATGGATTGTTTTCTTATGATTTACTCTCCATAGGAATTTGCTGCGAGTATTTCTTCAGCTGGATTTAGTCAATAATTTCACTCTAAGCAGTAGATACTAACCCTGACAGGCAATGTAATAAACTAATAGCTAGAGAAACCAGCAGGATACAAAAAAAGATTAGACTGCTTTCACAGCACTAGTTAATCTACTGATTTTAATACAAAGATTATTTCTGATTTATGCAAATGTAACAGCGAAGAATAAGGCACTATGGCCTTTCTGAAGGGTGTAGCACTGTTATGGTGATACTGCTCAAAGTGCTGTGCAGAGTATTTCAGCTTTGCCTACCGTCTTTCCTTGCCTATGGAAGTGCATCATTCAACGGTTACATTTAAACTTCTGTTGCTTCTGAGGCCAGACAAGAATTATATCAGGTGTAAACTGAAAAACTCAGTTTTAAGCTGAAAGGAGAGGCAGAAAGGGGAGTTAAGTTATGTCAAGGACCTGACCCAGGACCGTGGAAAAAGCAACAACTTAATAAGGAAAATGCATTGTAAATTCATGCTTCTGCTGTTTTTATTCCACTCTGCACTTAATCATTATATAAATCAGTAAGAATAATTCAGAAGAGAGCAGGAAGGGTTGAACTTCCTTTGGGAGAAAGTAAATTATGACCAAAAATACACTTAGAAAAATAAAGGTGTAGGTCTGTAATGTAGTATTTCATCGACATCAGGAACAAACACCAAGAAAAATAAAATAGAAAGAGGAGAAGCAGAAGAAGAAAGAGAAGCCTGATTACATGCATGTATTGAAGGAGATGCAGAATTTCACTAGCTTTCTGGATGAGGTGAAAGTTGAGTGATACTTTGCTTTAATTCAGTATGTGAGAGTCTAAGAAACTATGTTAAATAGCACCATAGCAGTACTGGTTGGATGCACTTACCTAGTTGGAGGATAAGAGTTTCTGTCTCTCCTGAAGGGTTTTTCTTCTGTAAAACTCAAAGATATAGGAAAGAAATCAGTATCATTACATCAGTTTTGCAGATGATGCAGTGAAATGGCTTAACTAAGGTTTCCCAACAAGTCACTGGCAAGATCTTGGAGCAGGATCCGCATGTACTAGTCCAGGGCTGGACTGGTGAGAACTTTGTGGAAGAATTACAGCTTGATGTCAGTTTGTGCTTTCCAGCACACTGTTGGCAGGTAGTTTTTCCATTACAACAGAAACTAAAGATTGAGATGAACCTAAGCCTGACTTACGATGGGAGCACATTTTCTATTATAGCTCAGTTTGGGATCATTATTTTTTCTTCAGGGGATTCTTTTACTTCAGTGATATTGAACAAATCTTATTTTAAGTTATGAATCTGTGTTAAAATGCTCTGTCTTTCAGTGCTGGTCATATGAAATCAAACCATATGTCATAGATAAGTGAGGCAGGAGGACTGTGCGCACACTCTACTGTGATCAAATGCTTGTTTCATCCTTATTGCGATTGCAACTATTAGTCATCAGCCACTACATTCAAGATCCCCATCTTCAAAGCCCAGCACTACTCTTACCTACATCTTTTGGCTTGTTTAATCTCACACTTCCCCATGCTCCCTTCCATCATAGCTTTCAGCCACTTGCTCTGCTTCCTTCTTTCCCTCCCTCTCTCGTTTCATATTTCCTTTTGTGTCAGACTCTGTATTTGAAACAACCTTTCACTTCCAAGGCAACAAAATCCTCAAAAAAATGTCCATTTTGAAGTGTCTTACATTGGTTTCCTACAGTAACAATATTTCAATTGTTTTAATCCAAATCCCAATGTATTTGCTGTGGATTTTTTTAGAGATTGATTATGAAATTTGTATTTGTTGTCAATACTGCATTCATTTGCTGAGTTCAGCAGAACTCTTTACAGAACAAAGTGTTATTTTGCATGAGTTGGGTGAGAGGATCTAGTCCTGAATTAAGGAGTGTGTATGACTAACCACAAATTTCATTGTCAAATACTGGAAGTGAAGAGGCCTGACATATTAGGTCAGCCTCTGAATAAAAATGGCAAAAATATCCAAAGCAACCGAGTAACTTAAAGCCATTTATAACATTTTTTTACTTCAGTCAGCCATTTAGGGACAGATGGAAAAAGGATATTTTCAGAGGCACACATGGTAGACTCTCACTGAAAATTAACAGAACAAATTCTAAAGTACTTCCTGCAAATGGAGTCTGAGTTCCTTCGTTATCAAGCACCTTTAAAATTTTTCCCAATCCAACAAAGAAAGCCTGAGCTTTCCCTGTGTTTCTAAATCACTTCCATTTATCTTTGGGCCTATTAAACTAATAAACATTACTGTGTTTAAGTGTTTAAACTTTCATTAGTTTAGACCTGAAATGTAATACAGTCGTTATTAACAATAGAATTTTATGTAGTATATTTTATTTCATGCTGTGACTAAGAGCATTTAAATGTTTTCAATACTTTATCCAAGACAATAATTTAAGAAAAAGCCTGCACTCCCGTCTATTCCCTTTTACTTTGTTCATGAGATCTTTATGATTGAAAACTCCATCTTTACCACTACTGTTAAACTTAGACCATCCTACAGAAGGCCAGATGCAGAAAATCACTTGTGTGGAAGTGAGGAATTAGTTCTTCCATTACAAAAAAGGAAACGATCTGAGTGTGAAAAGCCAAATCTTCATTACTGATCAACCGTTAAAGTGGAGGAAAACCATGGTAATTTAAGATTTAAACTTTTGCTGCAAATATGTACATATGAAAAATTATCTCATGGTAATACAGGAAATAAGGAGCTGGGATTGTTTGGCAGATTACCATTACAACTGGACCAAATCAGATCAGTAATAAACTGCTGTTTTTAGTAGGAAATGATTGCAGGACTTTCTTGACTTTAGAGATGTCTCAAGCTCATCAGAAAGTATTTTGAGAAGAGACGAATCAATACAGTTTCAGCAAGGGCTTTTTAGTCTGTAGGTATTGTTCGATTCGTAGCTCTTCACATGATTTTTCATTTTTCTTTTTTTTTTTACATTGTGTATGCAACCCAGTATATAACATTGACTGCTGCAAAGGCTGCTGGGAACACGGCTCTGGCATATATATCAATGGTATCAGCATCAATGGGCTTAAAGAGGGACTTCAGACCACTCCTTTTATCCAGTTTCATTCTTTGCCGCTGTTTTGTTTCTCCAGTTTCTATTTCTATTGCACCATACGATCCAGGCAGGCTTCTGGGAATTCGGTGCTGCCTATGGGAAATGGCCAGTTCCTGGTTCACACCAGCTATGGAAAGGGAAAACAGAACAATGGCATTCTTCACGTTTATCTGCAAAGGAAAGAGGAGAACCTATAATAGCAATTTGCAGGGCAATGGTACTGTACTTCATCCAAGCTAGCCATGATACTGACATGGTGAAAATACCTATGTGATCCATAGGTGCTGAATGGTATTTATCACTTGCTTTGGCAGAAGGACCGCTGAAAGACTCTGTGCTACCGCACCTAAATTCTGGTTATAATTTTACATGCTCTGAATTACCAAGGCACCACTGAGACAGCATGCTTAGGCCCTCCTTACTGAAAATAATTGACTGACTTCAGGGAAACAGTTATCCCATTCTGTGGCCAAAGCCAACAGGCAGTTGTAAGGCTTTTGTCAAAGCTGAGAGAACATGGAGGTGGGACAGAAAATGAATATGGATCAGTTATATCTGCTGCAGCTTAATCAAATGAAGTAATAACATTCATAAGTAATACCCAAGGTGCCAGAGAGTTCAAAAATATGTAGGCCTGGACTACAAATTGTGAATTGTCAAACAACAACAATAAAAAAGTTCCTTAATCAGTTCACTCTGCTTCATCATTAACGTGCGAACAGGTACGTGAAGAAAGCAGCAAAGCCATCTGGAGTTCCTGCAAGAAATTTCATCTACAGACTCCTTTGTTCACTTTCACTGGGCTTCATACCTATGTAACTTATATCCATGCTAATTATATCTGTATTTACCTTATGCAGTATAGGTGTAAAAAATGTAATCTCCAGGGGACAACATTCAAGACTTCAGGCCTAGTTTTTGTTTTGCTGACAGCATCTTATTATGCTGTAGCAGAGCTAAAAGAGTCTTTGCTGAAGCAGCTACTGAAGAATACCTTCTGAGCAAAGGCCTTTCTTCCCCATCTCATGTAATACTGTCATAACCACTTTGCCCTGACCCTACAGGAGCAACTCAAGGTTACCGTAACTTACACTGAGGACTGGGCAAATACCAAAGGGTCTAAATATATTCTCAAAGTGTGAGATGTACAAATCTAGCTCAAGACATACTTTGCCTTTCTTCTTACTCATTCTCTCTTATTCTCCATTTGCTATCTTAAATACAGCAACAAACCATGTAAGAATATGTTGTCTTTATTGCTAACCATGCTGCAAGGGGAAATCAGCAGTTGCATTTGTTTCCTTGTCATATTAACGTGACAAAAGAATTAACCAGGAATTTTTTTTTTCAAAAGCGGTAGAAGAATTTGCTTTCATAGTAGAGAAAGGTCATAATGCAGTGTGAATGCTTTTGCAAAATTACTCACAGTATTACGCTTACTGACCTCTGCACTCTGCCTTCTTGCCTTTAACTTGTTCTTTTGCTTTTTCATGTAGTCAGCATTGAAATGTGCAAATGCATATTCTACCAGTGCAGCGAAGACAAACACATAGCAAATCCAGAAGTAAACATCGAGTGCCTTGATGGCAGATGCTCGTGGAAGCGAAGATCGGGCACTGACCATCAGTGTAGTCATAGTAAGAACAGTAGTTATACCTGCAGTGTAGTGTGAGAAAATTTACTTTAGAGTTCACAGAATACACTGTAATAAGTGCATTTACTAATCTGAAGCTGGGGAACATTTTCACAGTAGAGCCACTTAATAGTGTGGCTTCTGATTTTCGAAACGGGAGCTTTGTAAAAACCTGTGCATTTGTATGACCAAGGCAGCTTTCAACATGTTATCCTTGGGTTTGTTCTAGATCAGGACAAACAAAAACTGAAGACCTAACCGTCAAAAACTTTTGCATCTGGACTTGCAACCCTTACTCAGGCAAACAGATCCACAAGCTCTAGGAACATATTTTGTCACTGTCCCATTTCTTTCAAATCAATTCTTTCATATATCTGCCTCACATTCACTCTTGCTTTTAACCATCTTTAGGTGGTTATTTTCTGTTCTTCACTGAGGCAGCTGCTCTGATAGCATGACAAATTAAAACACGAAGGAAATCTTTTAAAGGATATTCTCTTCTCCAAATGTAGACATAGTATTCATAAATGCACCTCCATGGAAAATGAGGATTATTAGAGAGCATAATTACAACTTCAGCATACCCTTCCCTGTTAGTTGCCCAAACCATCCGTTTTACCTAATGACACTCTGGCAGGCACAGCAGACTGACTGATCCAGAAGGACACCCACGACATGGCCACGAGCAAGATAGAAGGAACGTAAGACTGAATGATGTAAACTCCTCGATTTCGCCGAAGGTGGAAGTGGAGACTGAGCCTGGGAAACTGACCTGCTGGAAAAAAAAGCAGACAAAGAAAGACTCTGACTGTGTGAATTACAGTTAAACTGACATTAAAAACAACATTTCCTGTAATGACACACATCTACATTCTTAAAAATCTTTTGGACAAGAAGCACAAAAAGCTTTTTTGAATGTTGTTCAATTAGTCTTCATAAACCCTGCACGAGGTACTGCAGTTCTCATCAGCACTGTTAGCTAAGAATAGGTCAAAGGATTTGTCTCAGGTCATATCAATGCCAGATCTGAAAATAAAATCATGAGTCTTCTCAAATAACAGTATTGCTTCAAAATGTGTACTGTCTTATCATCTGCTGTAGAAAGTCCTCCAGATACTAAATTTAGAGTTTTTAAAAGGCCAAGTTAATTTCAAACTGAAAAAAAGAGCTTAGAGGAGATGTGCAGCATAAATGAGAATCTGAAAACATTAAAGAGGATATTTTACAAACATTGCAATAAACCCAGTGATACTCATACACACCACTGACTTGGACTGGATAGAATTAGAATGATCTGACTGTACGTCATAAGCCTCATAACATCAGAGCTAATGGAAATTTTTCTTTATCCAAAGTCACAAATTAGGTCAAGAAAATGTGAGCTACACCTCAACTGTTTTTTATCAAGTGCTGTCTGGCTGCTCCATGCAGTATTTTGTCAAACGTACAGAGCTAAAGGACATAATATGCTACAGTGGCTACCTGAAGGCTCAGCAAAGGTTGGCATTTTTTGCAAGTGTAAGCTAAAGAAAACTCTTACCGGAAAGGTTCTTAAATTAATTACTTAAGAGGGATTTTCTATTATAGATATAGGAGGGTTTTCCCTACAAAAAAAGTCAGATACTGTCCCTGAATTGAAGACAGATCCTGTTACCAGATTTGAAGTTCATCATTTCTGTTGTGAACTGGTAATTGGTAATTGTGAATTGAGCAAGCTGCAGCTTATCCAGCCCGTGGATCTCCTCCTGGTTTTCTGACCAGTGGTAGACGATGTCCTCTGAGGAGTAGCCATCTGCCAAAAGAACACTAAATAAACACGAAGTTTGAGGAAGAAATTCAGAACTTTTAGAAGACTCATAGTGGAAGCCCTCTAATTCCTCTGCTATGCTGATCTTCATCGGTCTCATTGCAAACATGCTGTGATTCAGTCTGGATAATTCATTGTCCTGGCAACATCAATGTTGCCAGTGTCACGCTGGGGTAGCTTTCCTACAGGGAGAATAATCCAAGTTGATTCACACTGACTAGCATTATGTGGTATGGCAAAATGCACTTCAGTGTCATCAGAAATATTCAGATTCTCTCTCAAAAAGCTCATTTGCATACTCACTTAAAGTAGAGTAACTGTAATGGTAGCCCTCAAACTAGCCTACTTCCCCCTGCACTGTGCTTGGATCTCAGAGTTGCAAAAATTTCTGATTGTAAAAGAAAATCACTACCCAATCTAATCTATCTATGCCTATTATACTGGACTGATCAGAGTGTAACTCTATACTGCAAGTTCATCTTCAAGTTCACACACTGGTTTTATGAGATAGGTGCTTTGTACCAGTCAGGCAGTGTCGGGGAAACAGGTTGCCTTTGTCAGAGATTCCCCCAGTGTCCTCAAAAAGTATGTGGCCGGTTGGCTCTGTATCTCCCCTTGCAAGCCCTACAGTGCTTTTACAAATGGGCACTGCATGAAAGTGAAGTACACAGCCGAATTATTCACATGAATCCTCACCCTTGGAAACAACTGTTAGGGCCTCCCCCAGGCTTAAAGTAGTTTAATAAGAAAACAATGTCTATGCAAACTGCCTATGCAATGTTGTTCTGTCAGCTCTCCTCCTAACAGCTTTTGAACTTCCATAATATTTTCAAGCCAAAATGACAAAAAGGTAAGGGTTTCAAAGATGCTAGATTCTTGCAAGTTTTGTAAGAAATGGTGTGTAGAGAACAGAATATCAAATTTGTGCATCCTGTTAGAGAACAGCAGCATAACTCAGACCCTGTCCATTCTGGGACGCACCAGCTAGCGTGGCAATCACCATGCCTGTCAGCCTATTAGTGACTGCAGTTTGGCATGGGTGGCAGCTGGGAGAGCACTGCTAGGGAAAGGTCCAGGGCACCAGGGACGTGAGAGAAGGGGGGAATATGTATGAGAGGATTTATGTAATATGCAAAGCCACAGGAAGTCAATCTTTGCTAGTTTTGCTGTTAATGGACAACTTGCTACTAAACCATTCATTTGTTTAAAAAGTGGCTTTATTTCTACATGATTGTTTAACCGAAATCAAACCCCTCAAATTCAATTAAAAAATCCAACCACCACCAAAACTCCCTGCAGAACTTGCTGGGAGAGAGAATTGATTGCTGGTTCACTGTCTGCTGCCTCTGCATTTGGTGATTACATAAGTAAAACTGTAGATTGCTATTTTTGACAGGATAAAATGGTATTGTGGTTAATTGCCTAGAAAACAAAGTCAGTGCTAAAAAAGAAAAAGAGAATCTTGCATCAATAGGCCAGTGGATCTGCTCAGAAACTGCTATTCACAGATCTCTGGAACCCTCAGGACCTGTGGACTCCTTCATATAAAAACCACAAAAGGCCAGATTCATTGCCATTGATTGGGTGCTTGTGCCAGTGGTGAATTTCATTCAGAAGTATTCATGCTCATGGGAATTACATGCTGATCATAGATAAAACACAGGTTAGACAAAACAGAATTTCATTCTTCACCCTCCTTTGTGAGTACAAATGAATTTAAGCCAGTCCATTCGGTATTCTGATTGATTTCTGTGTAACACACAGGAATGCCTAGGCAAGCTAGAGAGCTATGGAATGGTTAGTCACAATGGCATTCATTACAAGCAGGGAATTCTTTCTTTTTCTTCCTTTTTCATAAAGAAAAAATAGCACATCAAATTTTGCCTGTGGGCTTCTCTACTTGTTCTCACTGGATTTAATGTAAACGTCAGTAATGCTAGTGACTGTCACAATTGTGCTAGGTTTTACATCAAGCACAAAGTTCCAGACATTTGTCAGCAGGACAGCAGGTTGTTCATCTTCACTAATTTGAATCCTATAGTTTTGAGTTGGATCAGAGCTGAACCGGTATTGAAAAGTCCGTAGTCTAATGCCCAACACAGAGGATGAAGGGATTCATGTTTGTACCCTTTATTTCCAAAACCTGAGGCACCCTTGGCATTTCATTGACTAAAGCAGAATCATTCCAGCAAACTCCAGCAAGCTAAGTACCATGTATGCAGACTTTAAACAAAATACAGATTATATGAAACACTGTACTCAGCCCTTACAGCTCTCCAGATCCAACATGCATTCTTGCTCATCCATTGGATACTTGGAAAGGTCCATGTCACAGGCCACTGTGGAGGTAATCCTGTTCCAAGCAACGTGGACACCAGTTAGTTGCATTCAGATAGAGCCTTTTCCTCAGAACTCAAACACTAAATGGAGACCTTTGAAGCCTTAATACTAATACAGGAAACGATTTTCAAAATCCTTATGGCTATTGTCTTTACTAAGTCAAAGGTGGGGGGAAATTGAAGAAAGGTCAAATGACTTGTCTAATGTCAGAGGACGCTTCAGCTACTTCTGATGATAAAAAGGATTTTTCTGAGTCAAATCTGCTCTCTTCCACTGTCCCCAAGATCACTACCAATACCTGAAGGGTGACTTTGGACTTACAATTTCAAAGGTGCACACTCATTATTTTTTAGAACATTACACAATTAACTCTAAATATAGCTACTGAGTTCTAACAAGAACACTCTTCCACAGTGAGGAAATACTACTTTCTCTGAAAGATGGGGAAGTTGAGCCTAAATCAGGCTCATAGTTAGTTTGGAGATTAGCGAGGGAGTGGAGAAAGGAATCTTTGCTCAGCATTCAGCATCTCCTTGCCTGGTGACCAAATAGTTATGAGATGCTTGTCTCTCATTAAGGACATTCTGAGAGTGATGAGTGATTATGCAGTGGAAAATGTTAGTGTTGCCAAAGATACCTTCCTGGCAGGGTAATCCTTGTAAAGCAAATGGATCTCTGACAGAAGTCACCAGTACTGTCTTCCATTTTAAATTAATAATTAATTTAGGAAATCATCCTAGGAAAACTGAGTGATTACGCTATAGTCTGTTCAAAAAGTTAATGCAAGCTAGAGTACACTTGGACTCTGTCACTCACCTGATGCTGTATAAAATGACTCCGTCTGGCTGGAGCCTGATAAGTTTGTTTTCCACAGTCACATCATGGAACCAGGCAGACTTGGCATTTACTATGAAAGTATCTGGCAACCAGAGCTTGTCCACAAACCGGCTGTCTAAGCCCAAAGTTTCATTGGTGTGGTTGTAAGACAGACGGTCATCTCGCCAGCTCTGGTGCAAAAATACCGTCATGGTATATTCCTATGACAAGAGAAATCCTAATTAAAAAGTGATGCTAAACTAACACAGTAATGTCTTGGGACTTGGTCAAAAATCACTGTATTAGCCTAGAAATGTCTTAACAGCTTCCAGTGCAAATAAGTATTTTTATACTCAGTCAACCATAGAGCTGCCCAAGCATTTTAATTTCTGTCATAGGCTTCTACCACGGATAAATCCAAGGTATCAAAAAGTGATTCAATGTCAGTGTTATATATAACATGTTGCCAGACTTGCATATGTCTTAATGAAGAAAATCAGTTTGTGTATCTCCACAAGTACAACTTTTGTTTTTGAAGGTTTTTTAAAGCCAAACTAAAAAATAGATGAAATTATGCATCTGTAATGCAGGGAAAGGATGGAGGGAAAGCCAAAGTTTTGGTTTTAAAATTAAATCTGTTAAGTTTCAGAAATGCAGTTAATCCATGCCTATGCTTGTTTATGTGACTTGTAAGTTGTAATACTCCACTGCTTTATTGGAAGGTCTTTACATAAAAAAGAGGAGCATCTCACAACCAATTTTTCCCTTAGCGTCTCTTTGGAAGTATCTGTGGTGAAAAGGAATTTGAACAGAAGTTGGTGTTAATGCTTAAAATCGGGCTTTCTTTTAGTAAGTGCTGCAGAGATCCAACCTTGCTAACTGTAGTAAGAAATCTCAGTGACTTCTACATGGCTAGATTCCTGGAATTGCCAACATCTGCCAGAATAGACTCTGCCTGTGTCTTAAAATACAATGTTTGTTCTTTGCAGTATCTTCTTGTGGTAACTTCTCCACTCCAAACATGTTGGGGATCAACTGTCTCTCTACTTAGTTAGTCTTCCACACTTTCTGTCACTGCAGTACATACGTTCACAACTTGGTAGGTTTAACTGATAACGTACCATGTTCACTTCTGAGATGTGGTCAATGCTGGCTACTTCAATTGCAAGAGCAACATTAACAGGAGGACCTGAGAAAAAATGGTTGAATGTGGTGATTTACATCATCATAGTACCTATGAAAATATAGATGACCCAAGACTGTCAATACTTTCATACAGAGTGAAGTCATAAAAGCTTTTTCCATTATAAGGTACCCTTTCCAAGTAAAGTCTACCTTAAAGCAATAGATTTAAATATTTTGCCGATTGCACCCTCAATTTCCAACAGAACACTTTGTTTCAGTGATAAAGGACATGAAATATAATCACAACTACTGAAAATTATGGAATCCTTTCTGGAAACCACATTATCTAGCTTAAGACAGCATGACTTCAAGCAAATGCAGAAATTACCGCCATGTAACGTAATCCAAAATTCCTTCAACTTAGATATCAGCGATTTAAGAACTGTATCAGCAAGAAGATTGCATTGCTAATTCTGTTATACAATCTGTCTTTTTTCAAAATCAAGCACATTTTTGATTGTTATTATTTCCAGTATCCAAGTAATAGATAATCACAACCTTTTAATCATGTAGAGGATGAAGTTCACATAAACATCAGAGGGTAGAAGGACTGTAAGAAACAAACGAGACACTATTCTCAAAGTCTCACCTCCAATCCCAGGCCTGAAATTACGTGCATACCCTTTGATTAAATCATCCAGGTTGGGTAACCAGGATATTTCGATGTTGGAACCTATGTAATCTCCGATGTCATTCATAGCTCTAGGTAAAGAGAATAAGTATATTTTAAAACTTGGCCATGCTTACAAACAGAAAAATAACTGAAAATGGAAGACATTGACTTCTTTTACACCAGAGACCACCTGCAGTATAATCAGCTATATTGGTAACTTAGTGGAAAAATACTGTATATAGATATGAAAACAATTTCAGATATTTCTGTTTAAATCAAAACACATTTCAGGCAAGACTATGGCCTCTTTCTCAAATACAGTCACATACTTTTTGAAGGTTTTTTCTTTTTTTAAAAAAAGTAGGGGAAAATAAAAGATTTAGAAATGTAGAGAAAGCATGAGGGAAACCAAGAGACTTTGTATACTGCATAAAATGCATGTGGGGATGCTGAAATGCAGCTATCTGGGAAGCAGGACACAGCAGCTGTGACAGCTCCTACTATCACTACGGAACAACTGAGATCAAGAAGGCTGGTACATTGTCACATGTGATGGGAAAACAGTAAAAATTACACACCTGGAATTTGGATTTAACATCTTTGATACTGTGAAAAGTATCATTGGGCCTCAGAAATATGAAAAGCAGTGCTAATAGAAGGTGTACAAACACCTGAAAACTGCAAAGATATGGTCAAAAAGGAGATCTTGCTCAAAAAGTGAACAGCTGAAAGCACGAAGTGCTGAAGGGGACATCCCCACGACCCCAACCTGGCTCAGAGCTGCCCGTGGGCCGGACCTGAACCTTGGTGAGAGCAGGCTGTGGCACTGCAACTCAGGAAGTGCTGTCCACGGCGTCCGAAAGCCCCAGTAGTACTCCCTTGTTCTGAGCCAAAGAGGTGGCTATCTATGGTCCAGGCAACTCAGGAATCTCCAGAAACCTCGAGGGGCCCACGGTTCTGCAGTGTGAAGAGCTGCCCATAGTGGTGACCCCGAAGGATTTGGCCATTGTCCTGGAAACTGAGGTGTGCTCCATGATCCTAGAAATGCAGAGCCCTGCCTATGGTCCTGGATTTGGGGCCGTTCCTGTCCATGATCTGGAGCAGTAAGTGAGGTATCTGTAGCACTGAAATGTCTCTGCCCAGCAAGACTTTCCCACAGGTGCCCCAGAGTTTTGGGCATGTAAGGATGGTTCCATCATGCTGGGGGGGCCCCAGCTCACCTGCTTGTGCTGGTTTGCACTTGCCAGCATTAGGCAGTGTGGGTGTTTGGCCATCTGTCCTCAGGCCAGCAGTGTGGGATGCCATAATGCACGCATCCTTTTGTAGTCACTCTTGGGACCTGAGTGAGCCACCAACCAGGCAGTAGGCTTTGTCTGGGAGGTAATGAGTTGCCGTCAGATTTGTGCAGCATGCCACAACTCCCCTCCCAGAAATAAGGCTCCATTTCTCAGGTGCTAGGCATATGCTGCTTGCTGATCCAGTGATGCTCCTCAAACACATTAGCACAGTTTCTTGTTGCCATTTTCCACCACCTGGCAGATGCCAGCCCCTCAACTCTCCTGCTATAGGCAGTTATGTGGATATTCCATAATCTTGTATAAACAAAGGCAAGCTTATATTGTCTTCTTTAACTGTTTAAACTGAGCTGGCAGACTTCATTTGAAGCAGATCTGTGCCTGCTCACACAATTCCTCTTGCCAGCTCAGTGATTGACATGACAGGAACAGATAAATGAAGGACTGTGACAACATCTACCAAAACTATTTGCAAAGAGAAAATTTGCCAGTGGTTTGAGAGGGCCTGTACCTGAATGCAGGTACTATATGAGAAGTGTTTGAGCACTGTTTTAACATCTTCCACTGAGTCCAGCGATAAATATGGCATTTGAGAGATATATATCACTACTAACGGAAGAGAAACTCGTTAAACATCGATGAAAGGCTGCAAAGTAATATACCATAAACATATTCTGCCTTGGTACTTACATAACTTTCTTAGAGCGTTCATGCGACATCGACCCACATAAAGCACATGTTTTTTTCTCTCCAAAATATGCCAGTCTGGGCTCAGCACATGCAGTTACTGCTAGCACAGTAGCGGAGTATCCTGCAATAACCAACTCTTCTTCTCACAGGGGACTGAAAGGAAAATCTCTGATTGCCCTGGTCATAAAATTCTTGCCCCACATATATGGAGTCAATTATATAAGGAAGGAGTTCTGGGATTACAACGTATAAATGGAAGTTCTGAGCAGCAGAGACGCTGAAAGCTTACATTAATGGAGTTGTCAAAGCTTAAGTGACCTTAAAGCATAGGGATGCTGCTCCAAAGTGCAACTTCATTAGTTCACGGAAAAATATTAACATTGGGGAGATATATTAAATTGCATTTATAATGTTTCCTTGCCATGAGCACACTGCTGTACATTAATCTCAAAATACTATCTCAGATATTTCTCAGGTTTCTAGATCTCTTCTGAGTAAGGATGTTGGAAGAGTCAGAACCATATTTTCAGCTACATAAATTGGAATAACATAACTAATTTAGACAAGGAGTTTGAAGATTTATAACGGATATTGACAGAGTTTTTACCTTCTTTACTGGGTCTCATTAACTACATAAACACATCTTTCTATCAGACTGCTGTTTCCTATGTGCTGGTCTTTCAATCATCCAACTATCAGTGCTTACTTAGATGCAATTATAGTTCCATAATACTTGGCAAGATCCAGGTGCTAAGGTCTGGCTTTCTTCTGCAATACCATCAAACATTGCAGTTCAGAAATTCTTTAATTTATTTTCTTTTACATTCTCTATCCTATTTCTGGAAATACTAAGGCTATCAGTTAATACAGAAAACAAATAATGTTTTAAATGAAGGCTTTGGCAGATTAGATAATATGAGACTATGTGAAAGTATTTTGTTTAAAAATGTACTTATTTGTAACTTGGAAGTCTAAGCCGTAGATATGTAATGATATTCCTAATCAGTAAAATATCTGAGCTCCTTTTATAGGTAAAGAACAATACTTTAAGTCTTTTCATAATTAGAATAAGTAACTAGAATACCCTTGAATTAATATATCTGCCTAAAATCTCTTTGCCTTTTCAGTAGAATATGGTACTTTTCGACTCCTGTTGCTAAAACTGCAGCCAAGTTCTGTAAAGTGTTTTGAAGACAATACTCAAGTCAAAAGGTGACTGCACTGTAGTGCCCTATGTTGCGAGCCTGCTCTGTGAGGGTGGGAGAATCTAGCTTGCGCTTCCTACATACACAATAGTACGAAAGTGCTCGGTGCAAGTCTTGTAAAATTAGAATACTATGAATATTTATGAGTACTCAACCTGAGAAAAATAATAAAAACAAATTCTGCTGCTCCCCTTTCACAATAGGTGTTGCTACTTGCGTGCATCAAGAACTCATCCCCAGATAACTGACTTATAATCAGTCACTTGCTATAAAAGAAGTAGTGTCACTATAAGAACTGCCAGGATCCTCAGCTTTTTTGAAAAAGCATTTACACTATGCATCAGTTATCCTGTGTCAGTATTCTATTTTAATGGCATTAAGGAGAGCCATAGAGCTAAAAGGAAGTGAAAATGACAAGAGCTGGGTTAAAAACTGTGGGCTTTAGCTTGCCATGTGTTTTAAGCAGATTACAATCTAGAGGGAGTTTTACTTAAATACCCATGACACAATTAAAATGAGTCTTGCTTCTATTATTAATAAAGCCTTAGGGTCAGATCTTCAGTGTGACAAATGTGTTGAAGTTAGTGGAGCTATATGCAGTTAATACCAGTGGGGGTTATTAAAGTATTACAGCTGAAATAATTTTATGCCTACATTTACTTTGTTGATGTTTATACTACTGGTTCATTTTTATATTTCTTTGAAATGGGCAAGAAGTTTATTCTTACTCAGTTACTGCCGTTCTCACACACTAGCATGGTGCTCACAGAACGGTTCCCAGATACTCAAAGGGATTATGTGAATCAGAATAACCTACAGTTTCATTTACAAACAGTTATGACTGAGTTACCAAAAGCTTTTGCTAGTATTAGGCTTTTTTCATGTAGATAATTAAGGGACTAGAGCATCTCTCATACGAGGAAAAGCTGAGAGAGCTGGGACTATTTAGCCTGGAGAAGAGAAGGCTCAGGGGGATCTTAAAATCCATACAAATATATAAAGGGAGGGTACAAAGAGGGCAGAGCCAGACTCTTTGCACTGGTGCCCAGTGATGGGACCAGAGGCAGTGGGCACAAACTGAAACACGGGAGATTCTGCTTGAACTCAGAAAACACTTTTCAGAGTGAGGGTGACCGAGGACTGGGACAGGTTGCACAGAGAGGCTGTGGGCTCCCTCCCTGGTGATATTTAAAAGCCGTCTGAACACAGCCCTGGGCAGCTGGCTCTGGGTGGCCCTGCCTGCACATGGGGGTGGCCCAGGTGACCTCTTGAGCTCTTTTCCCTGTGAACCTATGTTTTGCTTTGAAAAAGTGATCACTTTAAACAGCCATATTCTTCAAATTACATTTTGTCAGAGTGACGTGGAGGCTGATAGAGCAAGGGAAGTAATACAGACATAAGAACTCATGTAGCAGGGGCTGTGTGCTTGGGTGTATGATTCAGCATGGTGTAAAGGAGTCCAAGTTCTGCTTGTGTCAGTTTGATATGTGCGTTTTAGGTCTAAAGTCATCCCAGGTCCTCCAGCATAGTAGAAATTTCACATTCCCTGCTTTTTTCATCCCTCAAGAATATTGAGGGAGAGGAAAAATAACAAGAGTATTATTCTACTTATCATATTTTCATTTCATTTTTATCTGGTGAAGACAAAAGTGTGAATATTAGCAGCTAGTATAGCAGTCCTCAGTCAAAAATGATGACTTTGGAAAGCAGACCTTTATTTTCACGGCACTTTCCAGGCCAGTCTGTGGTAACTCCTTTGAGCCATTCCTCTAGACTTTTGTCCATCAGATTCAGTGCTTTAAAGTTACATAAAGAACGGTGGGAGAATTGCATTCATCCTTGATAAGCAGTTGGGATTATACACGGCCTAAAATATTATTCATTTATTATACCTGAAAAAGGAAGACCAGCATAGAAAAGATGCATCGGAAAGGATTAACTTTTCATAGTGTAAGCAGTAAAGATGAAAAGAAAGGAAACTACTATTAGTTGATTCAGCAACTTCACTTCCTGACATAAGCTGCTCTAAAGCTTGTTTTAGTAAGAAAAAGACTTTGTAAAATTAAGCTATTGATTTGTAAAATTCAAGGGGCATAACAGCTCATCAAAAAGCTTATCTTTGCTTTGCACCAGGCCAGAGTGGGGGGCCTAGCTGCCTGAATGGCAACATAGTCATGTGTACTCACACCACTCTGGAAGTCATTGCAAATCTAAAGCTGAAGAAGACAGTTTTTCATCCACAGTCTGTCTCTGTAGACATCTCATTTCAAGCAGATATTCTGGAGAATATATTTGTATCTGTGCGTATCTGAAGTTTAAGCATTGTGAGAACTTCAACAGAGCTTGTTTTTAGCAGTAGGAAACAGCTTACTGCTGTTTAAACTATGAGAAGAATAGTTAGTTCTCTTGCACACTAGACAAAGGGGAGAGGAAATCACCATTGATAAACCTGGCAAAACTATGAAGTTCTTCTTTGCCTAACAAAACTGTCCTGATACAGGTTAGGGAAAGCAACTCCAAGCAGTGAATCTCAAATGGCAAAGAAATTAATCTCTTTCAGAGCTACATACTACCAGTTCTAGAATAAAAAGTACATATATCCCAAAATCCTTTCTATCCAAGCTAACATCTTCCTCCCAACTTTCAGTACCATTGGAGTGATCTGGAGGAGAAACATCAATCAGCTTGGACAGTGCATCTTTAAAGGCCTTGTCAGGCAAGTGAGGTATTAGCCTGTCTTCACTATCTTCCAGAACGCTGCTTGAAATGGTTGCTAGAAATTTATCAATATTACTAGAAAAAATCTGGTAAGTATTGAAATTACACCAAGGAAAGAGACAATCTATATGTTCTGTGTGAATGGGAGCACTACAGCAGCTGAACAAGAGATAACATTAGCAATGTTGGTTTTGCACAGCAGTGCCAAAAGCTCTAGCAGCAGTGCAGAAGGCTCAGCCGCATCTTGAAGTCAGTGGCCAATGAGATACCGAGTTCAGGTCACACTTGTAGGGAGAGTGTGCTAACCTTTTGACAGCCATGTACAGCAGTAAGCTGTGGAAAATCACTTTTTGCATCTCCTTTTTCTTCTTTAAATCTGCTAACCTGATTCTTTTTGGGACTGTGACATAGTTGTTTTATGAATTTTTTAACCCAGTACGATGAAAATACCAGTTTGACTGATACAGAGGACTGGGATAGAGTATATTTCATTTTCTTTGAGATAATCTTTTGGCGGCAAGTGTCCCAGATGTCATTGCCACTCAAGAAAACATTTTCTTGGGAAAAAGACAAATAATGTCCTGCAAGGTCAGTGAACAATCTGGCCTCTGTCAAACGCCAGGATTATCCTGAGCAGAATGTGTATCCTTCCCATCTGCCATTCCTGACTCCAAGTGAAGCTCACTGTAAATATGTTTTGTATTTTGAAACCTAATTGAAAAAGCATTAGGCTTAATTCATGGCAACCTTTTGAAAATAAAAGCTCTTATTTCCTCTCTGTGAGTTTTAAGCTGCAGAAAATGGACCACTCCACACATATTCACGTGTTAAAGCTGATCTGTTTCCCTGAATAGAAGTAAAAGGCTGAGGGAGACACACAACAGAAGAACAATTCTATGCAAATGTATGAAAGTCATTTAACATGGTAGAATCTTAAATATAAAAGATACATCTATTTTTAATTAGGGAACTAAAATCTCTTTCAGTAAAGTATTACAAGGTACGGACATACAGCCCGAAACTTCTGTCAATAGTAGTCTTTCCCTGTGCAAATGAAGAAATATTTCACAAAGTGTATTTCAGCAGATGATCTCATTCACTGTGACACATTTATTACTGCAGCATCCACAGCATATCAAACTCTGATAAAATAGTGGAAGCTACAGTCTTTGCCCCAAAGAGCTGTCAATCATATAAATGCCAAATTTCTTGCCACTAATTACTGCTGCAAGTAGACCAAAAAATACTACTTTTTGAAAATGTTTACCTGCAAACTGCACTGGCATAGGTAGCCTGTGCTGACTGAGGTTGAATTTGGCTCATTCACTTCAGTCAAATAGCACACATGACAGAGAAATGGCTTCAAATACAGCTCTCTAGAGCACCCTGAAAGGATATTCAAAAATGCTATGAGGAAGCAGGCTACACGTATTCCCCATTTCCCTCCTCTGCCAAACCTTCACATTATTTTAATAGGTAGTTTTGCCTTAGGGAAGTCTTAGGTCATACTACTGAGTTCAGAACTCACTGAAATGTTCTTCCATTTTTTAATATGTTTTTGCTTACACCTGTCAATATACAGTCCACAGAACTCACAAGCAGAGAACTTAGTGGTGTTGGATGGCTTCTGTCATCATAGCCATGGATCACATTACATTTAGAAAACAAAATCAGTGCAAGACAATGTAGCAATTGGCAGTTTTGCCCATTATTATAAACCTTCAGTATTAATAAAACACTGCTCTTCATAAAAGCATCTCTTACCAAAAATAATTGTATCTAATATCATATTACAGAACTCCAAGAAAGAAGAATAAGGAAGCTCATGTGCTTCTTGGGTCCTTACACATGGAATTATTTCATAGGTCACCTAAGTGTGAGTAATTTTACTGATGCAAGGCTAAAATTTTAGTTCTGTTTAACTCATCAAAAGTACACATGTAAGCAAGGTTACTCACTTTTTCCAAGATTAAACAATGTTCTGCCATAGCCACGCTAAATCCTGAATCTTCAGAAAACTGTTGTACTAAACAGAGCAGCTTTCTTTGACCACCGAATGTCTTACACTTCAGCACATTTGGAAAACGACTACAAACCAAACAGTTGGAATGTCACAAGCCAGAATTCGCCTTGCCTTACTCTCTGCCATGAGTATATATATTTCTAACAAACAACTCATCACTATTGTGTAACTGGAGGAAGAAAGTCAAGTAACTAGGTAATTAATCCAAATATAAAACAACTTATCCAGCAAATTATAGGTTGCACATATCCCGGCAGTTGCTGTGCCTAGAAACAGACCTTGAAGACAGAGGCTGAGAAGGCTGACTCTTCCTTAAAATTCTTTTTTTTCTTCTTTTATACTCAAACACGACTTTTCAACCAAAATACTTAATGCTAGCCCACGTGCAGATAGAGAAACAGGATCATTGAAATTATGGGCAAGATCTTGATGCCCCGAGGTCATAAGCAGCATTTTCTCTGCCTTCACTGTAATACTGGATTGCTTCAGAGCATGAGGGTGCCAGGATCTGACCCTGCATAACAGGTTCAAGGTCACAGGATAAATCATTGTGTCGGTCCTGAAGAACAGCAGTTGATTTGACACTTCCTCTAGTGCAAGATCCTTTTCCTTCCCAGTGAAAAAAATGCATCTCAACAATTAATTCCAGGAACCCTAACAGCAATGTTATATCTTACTACAGTTCTCACTGCTTCTTATACTGCCCTGAAGCTAATAATAATGTCTATAAAGCAGAAGTAGGAAGACCCCCTTTAATACCACAGCCGTCTGCTCTGGGTGGTGTAGGCATGTTTTTACATGCAGCAAGTTCTGTTTTACTCCCCCTTCTATTTTCATTGCATAATCATGGCAAGCTTTCTCCACACACAGCCTCCAGATCTGTAGAGAATATATAGAGAACATAGCTGGTTGCCTAGCTAACACCTTCAGAATAAATGTGACTGAGAATTGCAAACATATATCTTTACAATTTGTTATTTTAAGAAATGGTTGGCGTTCTTCAAACGTTTTTTCCAAGATCTCTGCCAGTCTCTTCGTCCTATCTCAAGTTCGGGAAACTTAATAAACCCATTAGAAAGAACTGTCTGTATCTGGGGGTTTTTAATTGTGCCTGTGGAGGCCCTGGGCAGAGATGTTCAGTTTGTACCCCACGGGTTGTGCTGGGTTTTAGGGAAGAGTTTCGTGCTGTAGCAGGCCCCCTACAGAGCTGTTTAAGGGGATAAGGCTGCGCCGGGATGCGCAATGCCATTACGAAAAGTGATTGCCCCCAATTCAGACTAAGTGCCTTTGGGAAGAGGTTCCATTGGCATCCTCTTAAAAACATACCCCTAGATTAACCCCAGAAACTGCTGCTCAGCTGGCAGCGCTGCATCCCTGGCTAGAAAAAGCAGAAAGTGGGAAAAAAAAAAAAAAAAAGATGGAGCACATTGAGGAAACTCTTCAGTCAAGACCCGTTTTGGGTCTGAACATTCACTCATGCAGCCGTAGCCCTTACACGGAGAGATCATCCCCGGGGAAAAGTGGGAGTGGGAGCTGCGGGCAGGGGAAGGAGGACCAGCTACAGGCAGACCTGGCGTTTTTCACCCCAGCCACACCGAAAGAACGGCTGGCTTAAGGTTTTTCCCCCCAGCCACACCGAAAGAACGGCTGCCTAAGGCCAGCCTAAGAAAGAACGATAAGCCTTCTCTTACCTGATACACCTGTGCTGCTGGGTGCACAGTAGAACCAGGGCAGGAAGAACCCAGGTAAGAAATTCCATCTTACTCCCATTGATTAGACAGTGGCAAACGAAACCCCGGTTCCCCGGCTCTCTTGGCAGCTCCGGAGCTCCAGTAGCGTTGCCATCCTCGCTCGCCGTGCCCCGTGGAGGCTGACTTG